AACATAATATATTTTTACTTGAGTAAAGGCAATATTTTTTCATTGTATTAATTTTAAATATTTAAATTTAAATACCATAGGTATTAATGGTATTATTGTTTGTTATAACTATATCAACGTACCCAAATCATAACAACCTTAATATTGAATTAATTTATTTAATCCACCTTTGGTGTTAATGTATTTTTGAGTATTAGATATAAAGTAATATAGCATACTTATACTTATGTCTTAGGCTATAATACATCGTAGGGAGGATTTATAGAAATATATGCGAAGTATTGTGGCGTCGTATCGATAGACAGCAGCGAGTTATCGAATCGACARCAAATGATCATCTATGAGATAATAGTATCATCATTGTCTACGAACGAGCTGACGGCCTTGACGAGAACCCTAAACATTTTGATTTAATCGAATGCGTTATTGTTTCGGTTATGATATCATTATGATGTATGTATAAGATTTATAATTATTTACATTTTTTTTTATTACAAATCAAAATGTTTGGCAAAGAATACGTCTAAAATCTTATGTCGCGTGTGCATTAAACAAAGACATAGAATAGTGTTATCGAATCTCCTCAAATAAAGTTTCTATATATTATACTGCAATTGTTTGATCGGCAATGGAGAATAGTTATAATACAGATAGCCAGATAGATAGTCTATTAGTTWAATAGTTAATGAATTGATATGCAACATATATAATTCGAAAAGGTAAAATGAATCGTCGATTGATTATAACCGTGTTTGGTATATGCAACTCGGAACTCAAATGTTTATTGCCACCTACTTATTATTATTTAATGATGTGGGTATATATACCAGCTGCGATTTGTTTCTAAAGCCACAAAATGAGTTCTAAGACTTGCGTAAACAAACAAACGTTATGGTTTCAAATTTTGTGAATAAATTATTCCCCCCTGCCGCCCTAGTTCTATCTATAGTTACTGCAAAACACGACAATTTTAAATGTSAAAAAAAAAKTTATTCTAACCTTGCTTTCCAATAGCACTTACCTTCTAATACCCAGAGATGTCGGACATCGGACATCTTATTCAGTTGAAACGTATCTTTGCGATGACGCTCATATTATACGAACGTACCAACAAGTGGTTTGGTAATTTCTACAATAATGTTATACATTCACACGCTGTTTGTTCTCGCGGCGACCGACRAACGAGCAAAGTCCAATAATGATCTGAATATTATTTCTTTTCAATATTTCAATCTGCTTCCTATGCGGTTATGCTATATAAAAAAAAATACGTACGCGACCTGCGTTGATTAAAATTCATAACTCATATCGTATACTATACATTATTTATTATTATTTTAGATCTTATCAGTGTTTTTTACCAAATATAACTATTATAGGTAATAAGTAAAAGGTATTTTGTTTTCGACCTATTTGGTCTATATAGTTCATATAATTTATAATTAAACGTACATATTTATATTTATGTCACTATGATAGTATTACTGTTTAAAAAGTCGAATTTGATTTGTCAGAAATATAAAGAGAATATGTAATCTGGAAATACATCTAAACAATAAAAATATTGGTATAATATGTACTAGAGATTAAACTAAACTTTTTGGTTTTAACTACTAAGAAGTACGTGGTTGTGTAAAGTTACGCGTTATGTATAATACGATCGTTATCTTCCTTCATACTTTACTGTGCATTACACTAAGGATCTGTTTTACAATCATAGTTTAAACCTCGGTTATGCTTGAACCACTGATTTTACCGGCCGAATTCCGTGGTTTAACCGGAGTTCAACTATTCAAATTCGCGTTGTGTCTAATGATCACTAGTAGTGATTCACTACAGTTGTCTATTATTCGTTATCACTTATCTCACTATTAAAATTAGCTAACAGGATATACATTTGCAATTTTTAGCACCAACAAATTCTTTTGTCCTCGGCCTCTTAAATTTAAATCCGAAACTGATACTACACATATTGCGATTATTGTTACTGCCACTAGTAATATTGTTCTGCAGTAATAGTGGTTTATTTTTTTAATATTTAACGTACGTTAGCCTCCTCACATTAAAGTATTACACATATGCATTTAACATTTGTAAGTTTTTTTGGAACGCTATTAATTGTATGGCCATTTATCAAATTTGTAMGCCTTATTTAAATTACGCCCCACGCCCCCGCAGACAATAAGTGGATCGGTATTGGAGAAACTTACATTATAATATTATGCTTTTCCAGCATTCTCCGAGAAAACCGACGTTTTATTTGTTTGGGCGGGTTTGTCTTACTCCTAATGTTCCATCATTTCGAACACGAAATCCTCAAGTTTCGGCGCTGAGGTAAAGTCCCTCGGTATTTAATGATTAAGTACAACTATTTAAATATTGTCAACTATAGTTAAGTTCATATTTTAAGCTCATCATTTGATTGCATATAATATCAGTTTAAACCCGTAAAATTAAAAGGTATAAAATGTGTTTAAGACGTTTTGAATTATATAAACGTTAAATTTAATAATTAGGGGCATTATCCATCAAAAACTTCATTTCCCCTATTCGCGCCCAACACGAATGGGAAGAATGTAAAATCTCAAAAGTGATTTGACACGTCGAACTCAAATCTTATTTTCTATTCGGTGCTCGCGAGTGTTAGCGAATCGGATTATCGAGCACACACACATCACTAACGACAATAATTATTATAATTATTATAAACGTACGTCTTACGCGATTCGTGCGTGGGACACATTAGAAATCTTGCAGGAAGAAATTATCGTTGAACTCGTTACACTTATTGTCACACGCGCCGCTCAAACGGTGTTTGTAACAATAGTTAAATAACACGACTTTTGCTGGGCAGGTGTGTTTGAAAATGGTATAGTATAAAATATAAACTGCGGTCATGGACCTCAATCCCTCCGAATGAACCCATCACATAACATGAAATTATATGACAATGTGGCCACGTGGGTAAAAACGTGTAAACACGACACACTCGCGGTCAATCGTTACGTAAAGACTTATTATATTAAAGAGACAGGATTTCGCATTTGATGTTTCATTATGTGCATGCAGGCTAATGCATATCCTAATTTTGATTAAAGGATACGCAAAAACACTTTTGGTGTTTTCGCACAACAAATGAATTATTATAGAATATTATGCATATTTCATCTGCAAATTATACGCTTTAAGCGTATACGAAACGTTGATGAATACAAAAATATAATACAATTAACCATATAACAAAAATATAATATATATAATGACTTACATTTTAAAATTTGGTCTTATCGTTTTACAATTTCGTATTATATAAAATTATAATGTACTGCTGCGTTAATTATAATTACCATGATCATAATCTATACAAATCGATCGTTGCTGAGATCAATTGTTGAAATAATGGCACCTGAGACCTGATAATGATATAATAGTAATAATTAGTGTCGATAGACTTATTTGATAAGCACATATACGCATTACGCATTATAGCTATACGAATATGGTCGCAAAGGCGCATTCATATAGCTATATGACGTGTGTACTTAGCGAAACATTTGCAGTTATATTCATTATATATATAATAATTACATACAGGGTGTCCCG